AGTGCTGTTTCAAACAATTGCTTGTAGAAGATAAATAAATAAATAATATTGAAAAAAGTTTTGAGGGTACCATCTGGAAGGGGATCCACCCAGTGTTTGTTGAGTCCCATGGGAATAGAATCCATCTCTGCTTCCCGCTGGGCTTGCTTCAGTTCTCGCCTCTCTTTAGCAAGTGCACTTTGCATCATGGCTGCTTGAGACAGGGAGCCATCAGGGTTCTGGAATCAACAAGAAAATGTTCATTTCTTGCTTCAGATTTCCTGAATCTGCTCCTGACCGAGAGACCTTATTCCCAACAATCATCCAAAACATAAAAAGACTGTTGTGTCCTTAAACAGGAGGAGGATAAGAAGAGCTTGACAGAGTCACGTACGGTTTTGATTTTAACACTGAAGAGGAGGAAACTTAAATAGAGAGTCAGAAAGCAGAAGACGGCCCTTAACAAAAAATAAAAAAGAGATGAAATGCTGAGATTCATGGAGCTGATGTAGATTAGGGAAAGCTGATACTATCCTTTGGGCACGTATATCGAAGAATATGATGAGAAAGAGTATTAATTTACTTTCATTGTCCTCCATAATTATTCTGCTGCACCTTGGATACCGAAAGCATTTTAACTTTTTACAAACCCACCATTCCCACCCTGAATCCATTATTTAAACACACTTCCCATTCCTCCCCATTTCTATGGAGGGAACCAAGAACAGGATTTCTTTACCTTCACAATTTTAATGGGGCTCATGTCCATGCTCTGCTTTGTATGACCTCGCAGAAATGGTGGTTCCTCCTCTACTAATTCAATTTCCAGATCCTCATCTAGAATGGCAAATTAAATTCAGCTTCAAACACTTCTTAATTTAAAGCTTCCTAATTACCTCAACAAACTTCTCCACTCTTTCTTTACCAGCACACAAAGCTAAGTATGATACGCATGTAGTGCAATCTCACTTCCTGTTGCTGAAGAACAACCTCCACAACCTTATTTCAATATAACCTCCAGTACTGGATTCTGGACTACTGGAAATACAAAGGTTATGAAAGAAAAATTCTCTCTTTCCTAACACGCAAGGTGTCTTAAGCAATTATCTGAATTGATAGCAAGTCATGCTGGAAAGCATTCACATTTCACATACTAGCATTCCCAAATTCAGCATAGGTGAGGAACAAAATAAGTAGCTAGTATGTGAAAAACACTGATGCACCGTATCTAGACCATTATTAGATCCATCATGGTTTTACCTTCCTCATCATCAACCTTTGGCAAGATTCCTGTTTCTTCATCAAAGTCAGGAAACTCCTCCTTGGAAAGTACATTAGCAGCAATCATCTGGAAATGAGAGCAATGGTTATATGTATTCAACTGCCATGAACCATAATAACTATAATTAAATTTTCACATTCAGAGCAAGGCCCCACCATTTACCCATTTGAGAAGGAGTCAGTTTGGGAAGATTCATGTAAGAAGACCTTTTAATATGTGGGACATCACAGCTAAGAAACCCACCCTGATTTTGTGATCATCTGTTCAATTTCATTTCAAAAGAGTAATGAAGTGTCTCAAAAGATGGCCTAAGAATTCCTAACGCGAAGCGGTACAATAGGAAAATTTTTCCAGGGCACTACTTAATAACATCTTAGAAAACAGGAATACCTGTGGAGGATTCTCAAGATGATCTATTAAACAGGCAATGTTTGCTATTGCTCTGAAGGTTTATTAACATCATACTATTATTATTTTTCTTGTAGGGAGAAACTCTTGTTCGAAAAAATGTAAAAAGCCTTAAACAAGACACAGATCGACTTAGGAGCAAGCATTTCATCCAGTATGCAACTCCCATATTATATAGAGCTTTAAAAATTAAAACTAGAACACTGAATTGTATACCAAAATGAAAGTATGATAAATCGGGTTTCAAATGCCAAAGTTACTGTCCCCACTAGTGAGATGTATTCTCCAGGCAGTCTCAGACACTAATCTGTCACATTATTTACCAGTCATGGTTTCCGAGTAGTCTTCAATGGCAGTCTATACTGCACACTGCAATAGTTTAACCTGGATGCCTTTGTCAGGAGATGGAAAACAATGGCCAGGGTTCATGATCAGCTGCCAAGTATAGAGGATGAATCTCAGGATACTAACTTGGGCATCGGTTCACATCAGAATAGCTAATATCCAGTTTGCTGAGAAAATGGCTGAAAAGCCTGCTTTGGTGTCAACAGAAGGGAGTTCAAATACATATTTAAAGGAAAAAGTGCTAAAACCCTGGGCTTCTTGTTTCCTGCCAGGTCAGAACTGGGTGATGAATTCCACAGGCTGCTTGGTAATTTCTAAGCATTCTATTTTTCCAGCAGCCAAAAACAAAAAGAACAAGTGAGAATTTATCCACAACCAGTTCTCCCACTTGGCTATAGAACAACATCAAAACAAGCGTTCCTTAATGAAAAATAATTACCTGCTTGATTTCCCATTTTTCTGGGTCTGAAATACGGGTGAGACGCTTTCGTTCTAGTGTGTCATCTTCCACTTCAGGAGCACTGACTAAAGATAAATGAGTGGGTCTGTCTGGATTTCTCATGGCTGTCTCCTCAGACTCTCCAATGAGGTTGCGACGTCTATTTGGGTTCAAATCTTCTCCTGTGTCTTGATCTACATCCTAACGCAGATATGAGAGACAGACTGGCTAGTTCCATAGTATAGTAAAACTTAACCTTTGTATAAAGCCACTGAGATTGGCTTAGTTTTGTAATCTACACCAGGGCATATTCCCAGGTGAGAAATGTTACAACGACATGTCTGATACTGATCACAACTGTTTTTATCTTGGAAGTCACCAGGAGGAAAGCAGCACTCGACAGAAAGTACCAGAGGCTTGTGGGTTTGTAGCTATATAATGGGTCAATAATCTTTCGCCTCTCTTGGTGCTTTAGAGTTGCCTCAGTTACACTCTTTTTTTCATTGTTTTCTTTAAAATATTCAGGAAAAATTGAGTATTAATAAAATAGTCAGTAAGAAAGGGGAGATAATAAGCTTGACAGTCAACCTTTTTGAAATATTATCTGGGATGTCCAATAAACATTTTTTTTGCTGAATCTTAAAATCACAAGAAACAGAATTAATATTCTTTAAGCAACTCATTTGTTAGTAGGAGGTAGTCCAACTTTTTATATCAGAGTTCCTGCAAATACCTAATATCTACCTTAGTGATATTCTTTGTTTCTTTAAAAACCTCAGGCTCAAAGCCATCCAAAACACATTCCAATACTGACAGTGACTCAGGAGTTTTAGACATTGCTAATGCATCCTGACCAACCAGTAACATTAGGACAGTTTTAAATGAATAGACTGCCATTATGCAATTTTAAACAATCCAAATTCCTCTTACAATAATTTAAAAATGGATTGACAATAAGCTGAACTACAGTATTAATACCCTACTTACCCACGATTTCCAAAAAAGAAACAAAAAAATATCCCTGCATTTTTCAAATTGTGATTAACGCAGCATATAAATATGTCATATGAATAAGGGTTGGTTTCCATTCCAACATCTCCCAAATATACCTTGCAGGAAATACAACAGAGCTATGGCTAAAAATGGAGTTAAGCTTCTGCCATGATGTTAAAATGTCAAAGCAGTCATACAATATTTCCTAACTATACCCATGGTGGATTTTTTTACTTGATCACTTGCATTCCACTGAGAAACTGAAGTCAAAACATATGCCCAATAGTACAGCTACAAGTCAGGAAAATAAAAACCCAAATTATCTAACGGGGAATAGAGAGGTCTGACTTACCTTCATACTAAGGCTAGTTTTTGAGCCAGTGAAGGAGAGTACTTTGACCTTGACCCGCTGGCCCTTGCTCACCACATCAGCCACATTAGCAACACGTCCCTCCCGACGTAGCTCTGAGATGTGGACCAATCCTTCCCAGCGTTTTCTAAAGGGAATAAGACAAAGGAAGATGAGTAAGAATAAGTCAGTGCTATCTTCTATACCACATGCACAAAATATTTTAGAAACATTCATTCTTCCTGCAGAAAACACATAAAGTTTATTAGAGTAATACTACTTGCTGAGATACTTGATTTATATCCTAATCCTAAACAAGCCTGCTTGAAAATTAATCCTTGATAGTTACAAGGAGTAATTCATTTCTAGATACTCATTCCATGACTAGTGGCTAATAATATCAGTTAAAATATAAGGCAATTTTATAAAAACTGAGAAACAAGCCTTAAAAACAACACAAAACTTTTTTTCAGGAGTTAATATATACAATATACATCAAATAATAAAAACTTGAACAGTTCTGTGCAATCAGGAAACATACATCTAGCAATGGCTGTTACAATAAAAAGGAATTGCCCAACTTATAATACTTCTTAAATTGTATCAACTCTCAGCAGGACATGGAAAAGATGACAACATATACCTGAGTCCCTCAAGCTGAACAAAACACCCAAATTGCATGATGCTGGTAACTTTGCCATTGTAGATGTCACCAATGGAAGGCTCTTCTGGTGGGGGACGGTCCACATGCTTATCCCTCCATCTCTCACTGCTTTTCTCTCCAGGTCTCTCTCTTTCTTTATGGTCCCAGCTAGGACTTCTGCTGCTGGAACGGTATCTGGATTTACCCTTATGTCGTTCCCGTGTCCGGGAACGAGAGGAGGATTTTCGTTTCCGCTTTCGATCTCTACTACGGCTGCGACTCCTATGCTTTTTCTTGGCTCTAGCAACAAAATATATTGAAATCAATCATATCCATTTCTATTTAGTTGCCAGTCACTACAGTACAATTTACAGATGTGTAAGGATCCCAACAGTCACTACTGTTGTAGTGTAATGTCTGTGATGTCCAATGAAGACTCTTTTATTCTTCTATTTTTGCTTTTCTGTGTGTTTTGTTGCAGCAGCTATATTTATCACAGTTGCAACTTTAAAATACTTTGAATATAGAGGGGGATCAACCAAAAGACTGTTTCTTCTTTCAGAGATTAGATATTAGAGAGCAAGAGGCCAGCTAGGATTTGATTCCATTGCAATAGAAAGCCGTGTGTGTGCGCGTGCACGTGCACGCGTGTGCGTACGCGCTTTCAAGTCAATTTTTGACTCCTGGCTACTGCCTGGACAAGTTCCTACAGTTTTCTTGGCAAGATTTCAGAAGTGGTTTGCCACTGCCTCCCTCCTAGGGCTGAGAGAGGACTGGCCCAAGGTCACCCAGCTGGTTTTGTGCTTAAGGTAGGACTAGAACCACAGTTTCCCAGTTTCTAGCCTGATGCCTTAACCACTGCACCAAAATGGCTCTCAATGGAAAGCTACTAAGAGAAAAATACTGATAGTTGTTAAAAATACAGAAACAAAAACCTGAATATTGTACTACCTCTTTACTACAAACTGAACCCCTATTTTGCCTACTCTACTTGTAATCCTCTGGTAAGATGCTTCATCTAAGATAAAAATATTAAGCAAGATAATGCATGATTTTTAAGGTGAAAAAAAATGCTTTCTCAGAGAAATAAGGCAAAAGGAACATACTGATCCTCACTGTTCCGGTGTTTTTCCTGCCTGCCTGCAGTTGGCATTAAAGCTTCCAGCTCTTTGAGGGCATCAGCAGCCACTTTCACATCATCTTCATCTAGCATTGTCTATTGAAGAAGAAAAAAAAAGTCTTTAGGGCAGGAAGATATCCTCTCAGCAATTCTCTCAAACCCATATGATGGCAGTTGCCATGTGGCCTAAGTACACCTTACTTGGGAAACAAATATCAGGAGTGTTTGTTTTGGGGCACAGCAGTGTGAGGTTTCTATAAAACAAATTCCACTTTTAGAAATGCAGTGATTCATCAGTTAACTTGCACCACCATGAACAATGTGGTATAAGCCATATTGGGAAAATGGAGTAGATATTAGTCAAATCAAGTTGCAATTCACTTTTCTAAAATAACAACACATTCAGATAAATTTGCCTACAGTTTCCAATAACATTTTTCTTTTTTCCTTAAATATTAATGTAAAAGTTATATATGCTATTTAGTTGTCATATATTGAAATCTTCACAAGTATTCTTGTAACGGGCCAGGTAATTTATAGGACCACCTATCTCTGATTGTTTCTGCCCATTCCCCAGGATCCATAGGGTGGGCAATCAATCAATAAAATTCTAACAAATTAATTTCCAAGTAACTCTTTGAATAGACATTTTGAGCAATTAACAGGACATATATTCAAAACAAACCATCACCACACCAAAAAGAGAGGGAGAGGGAGAGATTAAATAAACAGATCTTTATCAATTTAGGGCAGCAGACATTTTTCTCCTGCTTTGAGGGAATGCATTTTTATTTATCCTGAAAATTTCCATCACTGGTTGTCTACAGCCTCCCCCATCCAGTGCCCCTTTAACTAGCATTCACGTGTGTGATGTCTTGGACAGTATTTCCGCTACATTGCCCCCAACTTGTTTTCTCATTCTTATACAGTTGGTCCTCGTTTAATGACCACTATTTCAGCAACCCAATCTGAACTTAACGACAGTGCTGAACAAGTGGCAGTTACAACTGGACCTCATACTTATGGCTGTTGCAGTGTCCCCATGATTGCAATTTGCGACATTCCCTGCCAGCTTCTGCAAGCAAAGACAATAGGGAAGCCAGCAGGAAGTCAGAAATTGCAGTCACATTAGGTCCTTAACAATTCGTATGGCCCTTGCTTAACGATGGCAACTGGGACTGCTGTAACTGTCATTGTTAAGTGGTGCAGTCATGTGGTTTTTCAATTTACAACCACTTAATGACAGATTTCCCGGTCCCAATTACTGTGGTAAGTGAGGACTACCTGTATTCCCAACTTCTTTTACTCTCAATGTATTTGTCAGCAAAGAAGGAAACCCGGACACTTACCCTCACCATGGGATTATCTGGCCGACAGAGGGCTGGAAACAACTCCTTCAACTTCTCTTTTTCTGTTTTTGGTTTAATAATATCTAATGTGATAGCAATAAAAAAAATACATACGTTTAAAAACATTTTTCTTATGTGACAAGAAACATTTCTACTTTTTAAACTCTTTGAAAAAATATTCTTTATTTTTCTTTCCAGCCTGCATATTACTTTGCTAGAACATTGGAAAGCTTAGATAATGGGAACAGGACAGGGGAAGTGACATTTAGGAGATAAATTGTACGCCCAACTATTCACAGAATTTGACATAATCTCCAGAGAAAACTATAATCTAGTAATTCTCTACCAGGAATAAGCAACTCACAGCTACAGAGTAAATCTGCCCTCCAAACCTCCACTGTCCTACCAAAATGTGGCAATTTTTTTTGCTCACAATTTCACAAGAAAGGAAAAGAAAGAATATTTTTATTTACATATCCTAGATATGTTGTATCATATGCACTCTGGAAAGGCAAAGACTTATTTTTTGAAAGTATCTTTCACTTGGAGAGGCTACATTCACTTTAAGCAGGTCAAATGCTTGGGATATCAAGGAATCGTCCATTGAAAATCTGCAATCCAGAGTCCTTTACAAGACTAAATAACATGAGAACGACAATGCTTAAAACAATTGATTTAGCTACTGCATGATGTAATATGTTTTGGCCCCTAAAGTTAGAGGACTGGTTTGTCTGTCCCATTTGTTTTAATATGTTACAATTCCAATGACTTAAAACCAATTTTTAATTTTTATCCCAACTTTCTTTTCCTATGTAACAAATAAATCCAAGTGCATAAAGGTTTCTCACAATTGATGAATGGCAAAAATGTTAACCTTTGCTAGTGGAAGCTTTTGCAGGAGGCCGCATTGTCTGTATAAGACGGAGCAGATTGCTGATGAGTGAATCCTAAAATGTAAAGAAAGAAGGGAAACAAAATTTCTACAAGCTGCAAAACATTTTAGTATAATTTCCATAGCAATTAAGCCAACACCCCTCTCTACAACAGTACCACATTTTTTTTTCTGGATTGATGATATATTTGGCCTTTGAATGGCTTGATAGGGACCCACTTGAGAAAGCAATGCATAGACAAAAACTAAATTTTATTTTGAACATTGTTAATATGATTACTTTCTGATTATATATTGAATTATTTTCTTTTCATGGCATATTAGAGGTTACAAATTTGTAATATTTCTGGAGTTGTATTCAAGTGTTTGGGGGAGTCACATGTGTTCCTAGAGCTTCAGATTATGTATCTCTGATATACTGCATGATAAACTTCAAAAGATTTCAGCAGTTCTTTACCGTGAACTCAGCCCCATTCTTCACCAGGGCTGTTTTGAAAGTATCAAAGTTTGTATTTCTCTCTGCAAGATTGATCACAAATTCAGCTGTGAACAGAAAAATTAAATAAGAGAGATAAATTATTAGGCTGAAATTATAACACTGGCTAATAACCAATTGAAAAACAACCAGAAAATAATTTCTAAAAACCCAAAACAATACATCATGCTTAGGGTGAGTCCTAATCCACACAATTACTTCCCTTAATATGAGCCCATCCAGTATCTTAGCCCAGGTCTTCAACATCTTACAAAAGGTTGGCAAAATTGGGGGCACGCTCTTCCACAGGTCAGGCACCATAACAGAGAAGGCATACTTCCTGGGTACCATCAAATAACACTGTTTGATAGAAGGGACCCATCTGTCAGATCTTCTGGGACAGGCAGAAATAATTGGAGACAGTTGCACAGATAACCTGGCCCTGTGCCATGAATGGCTTTATAGGTGATAACCAGCACCTTGAATAGCATGATCAATGATACTGAAAGCTGCCAAGAGAACAAGGAGGGCCAGGATGCATTAATCACCATAACCATCCTGGCCCCTCCAGAGATGATCAACAAGTGCAATCAATAATATCTCACTACTATGCCCAGGTCTTGAACCCTGAGTGAAAGGGAATCAGACAATCAACCCTCTGAAGCCCCAGCCTGACCATTTTTTCAACAACCTTCACCAAGAATGGAAAGACAAAAATTGTCCAATAGTATTTGGTCCAGTAATGGTTTCCTGAGGAGGGGATGAACCACCACCTCCTTAAGTGCTGGTGGCACTACCCACTTACTCAAGGATGAATTCACCACCACATAAATCCAATTACATGTCATTTCTTGGGAGGCCTTAACCATTCAGGAGGGACATGGATGTAAAATACAGGTGGCCACACTTACAGATTTGAGGATCCTGTTCACTTCCTTGGGACCAAAAGCTTAAACTGAGATTGTTAACATCTGCTCCCACCTCTGCCATTGATTGTTAGCAGAATCAGAGCATCACAATTAATTTATGTATTCCAGAACATATAAAATAGGGTGCAGATACAATGTGATACCAAATAGCTCAAGATAACACAAACAAGTCATCCACACAACTTGTGACATGAAAGAGAGAAATTTTTCAGGGTCATTAATCAAATTGACAAGAGGAAAGATGCACATTGACCTGGGATGTTAATTTACAGACTGGGTATCTTAGAACAGCTATGATTACTGGAGTACTGTCCAGATATACAGCTATTCTAACTTCTTTGCCATATGTATAGATAAAATAAAAACATAAATGTGAAATCAGATTATCTATTGATTTGGGGCAACATAAAAGTTTATGATTCAAACATTTAGAAATCTGTATTACTATGTAGCAGATAAAAAACCCGGTTCTGTCCGCCAAAATCCTAGGAAAACTGTTACCAGATGCGCAAAATGCAGTTGTATTCTGACGCTATGTGAGGCTGCTTTATACGTTCCCTGCGTCTCCTTCAGAACTAACTGAAACAAAACAAGCCTCAATTTGCGGTTAATTCGTGCTGATCTCCAGTAAGTGAAAAAGGCACAGCTATATTTAGGATAAGCAGGCAGTCGGTCTTCGATCCAACCAGTCTTACGACACCACAATTAAACGAAAAGCAAGCTCTGTTGGGGGAAATAACAGAAGCCCAGCAGCTTTACCACAAGAGCCCGCTGTGCAAAGCAGCAGAAGGCAGGGGAAGAAATGAGGTGGTGAGAAAAGAGGGAGGAGAACCTCCGCCAGCCGCCCCAGAGAACCCACGAGCAGCGATGACACACTGAACCGTTCGCTTCCCTCCGTCCCTCTCCAGCCCAAGGGACCCACCTAGGTCCTTGTCGTTGATGCCCAGATGGTTGTCGAGCTCAGTGCAGACTTTGGAAACGAGCGACAGGTACTCGAGCTTGGCGAGCTCCTCCGTCGGATCCGCCATGACGCCCCCGAACAGCTTCCGCGGTTCGGCCCGTCTCCAACAATAAACACTTCCGGGTTCCTCCACTACACACGCTTCATCGTGAAGGCGAGAAAACAAGGCGGACTTTATTTCAACGACGCCCTCCACAGATCATTCGGAAGAAACCTCCGAGGAGGCTTTCCAGTTCTCTTCCCCCTCTTGGGCTGAACGAAAGGCAGTTAAGGCGAAATCCAGGATTTAAATTGAGTTGTGACTCCGCAGTCATAGTACGTGGGTAAATGAGAGGCCCGCACGATTTGTTACCTGCGGGACGCAGGAGACCGGAGAAACTACCTTTCCCAGCATCCCTTCCGATCCAAGCTGCTTCTTCCCGGAATTGTCCTCCCAGAGCTTGATTGGTCGCTCTGGAGATGATATGTGAGCATGTGCCAGAAGGAGGGGAAAGATGGCGGAGCCGCCGAGCGTCTCTCCGGAAACTCCGTGGGGAGGAAAAGTGAGTAATACGGGTAGACAAAGCGAGGGGCGGAATCAGCTGCCAGAGCAGACATCATTTTTAGGGGGGAGATTTTAGTCGTTCGCTGGGCTCCAGTGTTGTGAAGTAATAGTCCAGTGGACCCCTCTGAACACAGGAAGGATGCCTTTCCATGCCTTGTTGAGTAGCGGTAGAAAGTTGCGAGGCGGAGTTGAGTCCCCTACCTTTTCGTTGCCTGTAACTGGGGTGGGAGTGATATTTAGACTGGGTTCATGCAACATGCTAGGCTGAAGTGAGATTAGGTTAGTTTGTGTGGCTCAGTGAGCAAACGCAGCCGGTATGATTGCGCGGTGTTGTGCAAACTGTCAACTGGATTAATTCAGTACACGACGGTTCAGTAAGCCATGGAGTAATGTGTTGTGTAAACACAGCCGCTGTCTTCTCAGGGACAACTCATGGCAAGGTTCGTTAAATTTGGTTTGTTGCATAAGTGGAATAATAAAGCTAATAAATCGATACCTAAGATGTCTTAAAGGTTCTAAAGAGGTTAATCCTGGAATTTGTAAGACTGTTGCTCCTTTGACAGCAATAGCTTTTTCTACCATGATGATTAAGGCGCTGATGATGATGTTTGCTTATAGTTGAGTTAATGCTTTTGCTGCCCCCTATCTCATTGCAAATTATCTGAAATGAAAGAGAAATGAAGATGGAAAACAACAGTATTCAGTTCCCCACGTTAAAATTACAGATAGCAAATATACCATGATTGGCATGGCTCAATGTTATCTTTAGGAAGAGAGCTTTTTATCTGAGACTTTATTTGTTGCTCATACCTTTATTAAATGTTAATCTAGTACTGTCACTAGCACACTGGACAGAATAGAAAAGTGACAGACTTTCTAATTTATATTTGGACAATATGAGAATATAGGGACAAAGTCAGACTGATGACATAAATGGATACAATAGTATTTGTACTCAGGATAAGTCTAGACTGAGGAGGATTGGGGCCATGAGCAAGGTTTTACAGTGTACAAATAACCAGAGTTTAAGCCACCAGTAAAAGAAACTTTCTTCAGGTTTTATCATCCTGTTATTTTAATATTGAACTCCAATGACATGACAGTAAGGCTGGAGCTGAAATGGAAACAATAGGAAACAAGATGGGAGGTATTAATATACTGGAACAAACCTGGAGGTTATCAGCTTTGCCATTTTAGAGATGATGTTTATAATCTTTAGAAAAGTTTATAAATTAAAAGGAAAAAAAATCCCTCAAGTTCTTATCTGTATACTTTTGAATTTAGATATCACATTAAGGCATGGTTTGTTGTAGTTATGTTTTGTTGAAGTATGATGTTCCCTGAAAGACTAATGCTGTAGAAGAAATAGCATTTCTGATTTTTATTATTTTGTGCAGGCAGTGGTGAGCTTCTAAAACTATGCTACACTATTGATCTATCTTTAGATCAGTATTGCCTTCTTTGACTGGCAGTAACTTCCCAATATATCAGAGACCTTCTCCACCGCATTTTCCCTCTGCTAGGCAGCCTTTTAAGTAAAGATTCTGGAATGCAATCCAAAATCCATTGAATGTACATTTTTCTTTGAGGCAGAGTAGGGTTTTCCTGACACCCTGAGTTTGATCTTTCTAACTTTTAGTTAGAAAGTTGCAACATGTCATTGCTTCCTGCCTTGTTCCTCTATTACAGTAAACTGTGCAAGGGGTGCATGAAGCATTTTAAAAGGCTATATCCTTGCATTGTAATTTAGCGTTTTCCATAGGGATTTTTTTCCCAGAGAAAATCTAGGAAATCTTGGTTTAGAGTGCTAAAGTTATGCCTGTCTATCATTATTGCTGAGAAACAGTTGAGAGGCCAAAAGCTTATGATAGGAATTGCTCTGTACGCGTGTGTGTATAGGCAGCACTTGCTTATTTTATATACTCCATGTGAGGTAACAGTAGATCTGCTGAACATAGCACTTTGTGTAGAGCTTTTAAAGATGCTTAGGGAAGTATATTCAGTACAACTCACAACTTATGAGTTATCAACATGTTTTTAATGGAAAATTTATCTCTCATATTTTCTCTCTTTTGTGACATAATTCAACAGGTTGACACATCTTATAGTGACAATGGGTTGGATTCTGGTAAGTTTTTAATCCCTTTACCACTGTCTTTCCCTGGTGCAATTCTTCTATGAAGAATTCATGCTAAGGAACCCATAAATTTTAGTTTAGCTTAGTAGTTAGGCATTATTTATGGTTGCCGCCATTTCTTATTTTCCCTAAGCCCTTTCGCATGTGCAGGATTCAGATGCATAGTTTTTGTTAACTTCATATTGTGCTGTGAATGACTTCCTAATAAAGCAGTGTGTGAATAGGGAGGGGGTAGTCTCCTTGCCTTGAAATTTCAGCATGAAATCAAATGACAGAGAGACATTCACAGTGGGGGGGGGGAGAAGAAGGGAGAGATGAACTCATTTTGCAAATGATCATGCCATTCACTGCAGTGCATACTTACTGACTATACAAATAGTTACTCTTTTGTATTAATGGACCCACATTTGGTTGCATAATTAGAATCCTTGCTTCAGATATAAGGCTGTGAAGAGCAGGGGTATCCATTTTTATAAAATTTAATTTCCCCAACTACAAAGGGTACCTAAAGGATTACTAAATTAGTTTGAGTCATACATATTTTTTGTCTTTATCTTCCAGTACTCTTTGTGGAAAACAGGAAAAAAGGGAACATTGTATCAAGAGCTAATAGTATTGGCTCTACCAGTGCCTCTTCAGTACCAAATACAGGTATGGATTGCTGCCTTTCTTCTCAGTAAATAAAACTCAGTTTTCTATACTAAGTGTGCATTGAACTGTACTTCTGTCTTATACTCTTGATTTATTTCCAGACAGCTCTAAATAGTTGATCCTAAATGGTAAAAGCTGTTCACTACTTCAGTATCTTCATTGTCAGTTCTTGGGCTGGTTGTTGTACTCATTGTCTTTAGTTTGGTCTTCTTTATATTTAATCTTAGTCCCATTTTTTCACTGTGCTCCTTGACTTCCATTGTTAGGGCTTGCAGATCATTTTACTTTCAGCTATCAGGGTAGCATCATCAGTACAATGTAAGTTGTTGATGTTTCTTCCTCCAGTTTTAAAACCATGCTCATCTTCTTCCAATCCAGTTTCCCTCAATATATATTCCACAGATAGGTTGAATAAATAAGGGGAGAATATACAACCTTGTCTCACTCCTTTGCCAACCTGTAGCCAGTCTGTTTTGCCATGTTCTGTCTGTAATGTGATTCCCTGATCTGTGTATATGTTCCACATGAGCACAATGAGATGTTCTGGACTTCCCATTTTTCTAAGCACATTTCCCAGCTTGACATGATCAACAGCCTTTTTATAATTAATGAAGTACATACTAGTTTTTTGGGGTATTCTTTGGCTTTCTCAAGTATTCAGGGTACACCTACAATAATGCTTTTCTTTTTGGCCTTTTCTGAAGCCAGCTTGAACATCTGGCATCTCTCTTTCCATTGTAAGGCTCTAATCTGCACTGAATGATCCTAAACATTATTTTACTAACATGTGAAATTACGTACGGAGATTGTACGATGGTTTGCACACTCCATTAAGTGTCCTTTCTTTAGTATTGGTACGTAGATTGACCTCTTCCAATCTATGTATCCTTCTCTGGATTTGCTAGCATAGCTTGGTTAGAACCTTCACTGATTCTTCTTCTGTTGCTTGCCATATTTCTGTAGATATTCTATCACTTCCTGTAGCCTTCTGACTTGGTAATGACTGGAGTGCTGATCTAATTTCATCTTCTATTACTAAGAATTCTTGTAAGTAGGGAATATCTTCTAATCAGGTGACAATATTAAGTCTAATTTCTATTTGGGCACCACAGATCCAACATACTGGAAATTAACCTAAGGCAATGTAACCGTGCTGAGTGTCATATGCTATTGTAGATTTAGAAATCACAGTTCTTAACTGATTATATCAACATTCCTGTAATTCTAAATAGTTCCTGCTGCAATGTTTGTGTAGGCAGAAACTGAGTAGGTCCACACCAACCAGTTATTTTCAACAGATGTATCTCATGAATTTCTAATTGATACGCACCGTCCTAATTTATAGTAAACAGTTCCTGCTATTGTAATAAATGTGCAGACAGATACTGAACAGGTCAGCAATTCATCCACAATCACATAACCCTCTGATGGATTTCTTTCTGAGGTTTCCTGGATTATAGAATAGTTTTGTGTACCTTATGTATCCCTTTACTTCTAACACATTCATATTCACAATTGTCCACCACCCTAGCCACAACCTAGATTTTTTAAAGTCAGAATGTGGCCAAAAAACGAAAGCAAAAGCCATTATCTTCAAATAATCTATAGAGTACAACTCCCATGCTGGCACCCTGAAAGAAAGTATCAGATGAGTGGAAGATGGGATAGCTCTTCCAACTGTATAAGTCACTTAAAGGGAGTCTAGTGGGTCTTTCCTGTCTTCTACTTTTGTTTTTTTTGAAGAATTAATAGCC